CCAGTTGTTGATTCTTTCTGCTAGTTCCCGTGCTACTGAGGATTTGTTCATAAAGTCTTTTCCTATACCAATGTCTTCCAGAGTTCTGCCTAACTTACTTTCCAGCAAGTTTAATGTTTCTGTTTTAATATTTAGATCTTTAATCCATTTGGATTTTAATTTAGTGCATGGCGAAAGATAAGGGTCTAATTTTAATCTGTGACAGGTTGATATCCAGTTTTTCCAACACCATTTATTAAAGAGGCTATCTTTCCTCCACTGAGGATGGTGAGCTCCTTTGTCGAAGATGAGGTAGCTGAGTACATCTGCATTTGTTTTTGTGTCTTCCAGTCTGTTCCATTGATCCTCAGGCCTATTTCTTTGCCAGTACCATGCTGATTTTATCACAGTGGCTTTGTAGTATAGTTTCAAATTGGGAATTGTTACACCTGGTGCCATGTGACTGTTGCCTATAATGGCTTTTGCTATTCTAGGTCTCTTGTGGTTCCAAATGAATTTTTGGATTCTTTTTTCTAGTTCTGTGAAATATAGTGTTGGAATTTCAATTGGCATTGCATTGAATGTATATAGCAGTTTCGGTAGTATGGCCATTTTCACTATGTTGATTCTTCCTACCCAGGAGCAGGGGATATCTTTCCATTTTTTTATATCCTCTTCGATTTCTTTTTTCAGAGTGCTGTAGTTTTCAGTGTAGAGATCTTTTGTTTCTTTTGTTAGATTGATTCCTAGATACTTCATTTTTTTGGATGCTATTGTAAAAGGAATTTTTTCCCTTATTTCTCTTTCTGTCTGTCTGTTATTTGTGTATAGAAAGGCTATTGATTTTTGGGTATTCACCTTGTATCCAGATACTTTACTGAATCTGTCAATTAAGTCTAGAAGTTTTTTGGTGGAGTTTTTTGGATCTTCAATGTAGAGTATCATATCATCAGCAAATAATGATAGTTTAACTTCTTCCTTTCCTATCTTTATTGCTTTAATTTCTTTCTCTTGTCTAATTGCTGTGGCTAATGTTTCCAGAACTATATTGAAGAGAAGTGGCGATAGTGGGCATCCTTGTCTTGTTCCTGATTTTAACATGAAGGTTTTCAGTTTTTGGCCATTCAATATGATGTTGGCTGATGGTTTTTCATAAATAGCCTTTATTAAATTGAGGTATAGACCATCTATTCCAATTTTTTGCAGGGTTTTTATCATGAATGGGTGTTGAATTTTATCAAATGCTTTTTCTGCATCTATTGAGAGGATCATATGGTTTTTGTCCTTGACTTTGTTAATATAATGTATTACATTCACTGACTTTCGTATGTTGAACCACCCTTGCATCTCTGGAATAAATCCGACTTGGTCATGATGGATGATCTTCTTAATAATCCTCTGTATTCTGTTTGCTAGTATCTTATTAAGGATTTTTGCATCTATATTCATTAAGGAGATTGGTCTGTAGTTCTCCTTTTTGGTTGTATCTTTCTCTGGTTTGGGAATCAGAGTGATACTTGCTTCCAGGAATGAATTTGGAAGTATAGCTTCTCTTTCAATTTCATTGAAAAGTTTGAAGAGTAATGGTAGTAGTTCTTCTCTAAATGTCTTGTAAAATTCAGCAGTGAATCCATCAGGGCCTGGGCTTTTCTTTGTTGGTAAGTTTTTAATTACATTTTCAATTTCACTGATTGTGATTGGGGTGTTTAAAATGTTTTTATCTTCTTCGTTCAACTTTGGTAATTCATAAGTATCTAGAAATCTGTCCATTTCTTCTGTGTTTTCCATTTTATTAGAGTACAGGTTCTCAAAGTAGGTGTTCATGATCCTCTGGATTTCTTTCGGATCTGTTGTGACTTCGCCTTTTTCATTCCTAATTGCATGGATCTGAGCCTTTTCTTTCCTTTTTTTGATAAGATTAGCTAAGGGTTTGTCAATTTTATTTATTCTTTCAAAAAACCAGCTCTTTGTTTCATTTATTTTTTGTATCGTTTTCTTAATTTCAATTGCATTGATTTCTGCTCGGATCTTTATAATTTCCTCTCTTGTTCGAGCTTTGGGTTTTTCTTGCTCTTGTTTTTCTAGGAGTCTAAGTTTCATCGTTAAGTTGTTTATTTGAGCCCGCTCTGTTTTCCTAGTGTGGGCATTCAATGTTATGAATTTTCCACGTAGAACTGCTTTCATTGTGTCCCAAAGATTCCTGTATGTTGTATTGGCATTCTCATTTATTTGTAAAAACTGTCTAATTTCTTCTTTAATTTCCTCTGTAATCCATTGATTGTTTAGGAGAGTGTTGTTCAGTTTCCATGTGCTTGTGAAGTTTCTATAGTTTCTTGTGCTATTGATGTCTAGTTTGATTGCACTATGATCTGATAATAAACAGGGGATGACTTCAATTTTTTTGCATTTATTTAGACCTGTTTTGTGAGCCAGTATGTGGTCTATTTTGGAGAATGATCCATGTGCAGCCGAAAAGAATGTATATTCTGGTTTTTGGGGGTGGAATACTCTATAAACATCTATTAAGTCCATGTGTTCCAAAGCTTGGTTCAGTTCTATTATTTCATTGTTGATTTTCTGCCTAGTAGATCTGTCAATTTGTGATAGTGGGGTATTTAAATCCCCCACTACAATTGTATTAGTGCTTATTTGGTTTTTCATGTTACTTAATATTTGTTTTATATAGTTGGGGGCATTTATATTTGGTGCATATATGTTTATGATTGTCAGCTCTTCCTCTTGAATTGTTCCCTTTACAAGGATGTAGTGTCCTTCTTTGTCTCTCTTAATGAGTTTTGGTTTGAAATTTACTTTATCTGAGAATAAGATTGCTACCCCTGCTTTTTTCTGGACTCCTGACGCATGGAGAATTGTTTTCCATCCTTTCACTTTCAGTCTATGGACTTCCTTTTGCACTAGGTGTGTTTCTTGTATACAACATATTGTTGGATTTTGCTTCTTAATCCATTCTGCCAATCTGTTTCTCTTGATTGGTGAATTGAGGCCATTAACATTGATGGTTACAACTGATATATTTTGACTTATTCTTGTCATGTTTTTGTCCATTTGTTGACTCTTTTTACTTTTTCTCCCATCTCCTTTTAGTTTCTTGCCTTGCCTATTTGATTTGGTCTGTTGGGCCTCATGTTATTGTGAATTTCGTTGTCCTTTTCTAGGATATTGTTTAGAATTCCTTGCAGTGCTGGTTTGGTGTTCATGAAATTTCTCAGGTGCTCTTTGTCGTGGAAGTATTTTATTTCCCCATCTATTTTGAAAGAGAGTTTTGCAGGATACAAAAGTCTAGGTTGGAGATTCTTTTCTTTTAGGACTTGGAATACCTCACTCCAGGCTCTCCTTGACCTAAGGGTTTGTGTTGAAAAGTCTGCTGTGATTCTAATGGGCTTCCCTTTGCATGTGATTTGTTTCTTTTCTCTTACTGCTTGTAGTATTTTGTTTTTCTGTTGGATTTCTGGAATCTTGATTATTATATGTCTAGGTGTAGATTTTTTTTGATCGTGGCTAGTTGGGGTTCTATATGCCTCACTTATCTGTATGTCTAATTCTTCCCTTCTGTTTGGGAAGTTTTCTGTCATTAATTCTGTGAAGAGCTTTTTTATATCATTTGTGTTTTCTCCTGTTTTTTCATGAATTCCTATCAGTCTTATGTTATTTTTCTTTGTATCGTCTAGGAGTTGTTGGATTGATTTCTCATGATCCCTTACTGTTTTTAATAGACCTCTTTTTTCACGGTCACTGACTGCTATCCTATCTTCTATATCTGAAATTCTATCTTCGCAATCTTTTATTCTGTTTCGTACACTTTCAATAGAGTTTTTAATCTCCTGGATATCTGTTTGAATCTGTTTTATGGATTCCATTTCTTTCCTCTGTTGGGCATTCATTGTTTCCATGTCTTTCTTATGCTGAGTCTTCATGGCTTCTATCACAGTCTTGAGCTCATCTATTTTTTTGTCAGTTTCTGCTCTAGAGTCTCGAATCATGACTTCTATTTTGCTCATCATCTCTCTGGTTAGCTGGGAAATTATTTCTGATTTGAATTTTTCTAGAGCCTGATTGATCAATTTTGTTACCTCCTGTGCTATGGGTCCAGGGAGTCCTGTTGGTTCACTATCAGACTTTTCATCCTCATTTGTCCTACTATTTGCTATTGGTGAGCTGGATATCTGTTTTTGTGTCTTGCTTAAGTGTTTTCTCATTTTTATTTTTATTGTTGGGTTGTCCTTCTTTAATTTCTGGGTATTACTTAAATCTTCCTAATATGGTTGCGTTTTAGCTTTTGAGTTTCTAATGACTCATAGATCCCTGCTTTCTTAACAGCCTCCTAATTCTACCTAGGGAATTACATCGCAAAACAAATGTCCTGGCCCTGTCATTCTGGACAACCCCAAGGACAGCAATTGTGACTGTTAATCATTATATGTCAACTTGACTAGATTCAGAAATGTCCAGAGATTAGTAAAGCACACTTTTGGATACGTCTGGGTGGGTCATGGAGGCATGACTTTGGCCACTAATGTGGTCCCTGGCCCCTTCCTCTCTGGCACTGTACCTGGGCTCTGCCATGAAGTCAGCATCTTTGCTCTACCTTGCCCTTCCCACCGACATTTCTGCCATGGAGGCAGCAGACTATGGACTGGAGCCTCTAAAACCATGAGCCCAATAAGCCTCTCCTCCTTTGAGTTGAGGATGTTTAATTGCAGCCAAAGGAAAGCTGACTAATGCAGCAAGGCGGGGAACTTTCAGCCTCCTCTCTGACTGAGTCATGAGTACAGCAGACACATTCTCCTCATCCCTTACCCTCCCTCAGAGTATCTCTGCCTCCTCTCCTCCCTTCTGCCAGCTCTGACTCTTCTGGGCTATCAACTAGGATGGCAGCTTCTCCGAGTACGACTTTGGACGAGACAATGACCTAGCTACAGAGGGATCGGAACCCCTGTAGGCCTGTTTGCCTGGCCTCCACCTCTCGAATCACTGCCCTCCCTTCCGGTACCCCCACTTACCCGTCCTCGGGTCCTATTCTTCCGCTTGGGAATATCCTCTTCTAGATCCTCCTCTTCATTCCCTTCGTCTACATTTTCATCATTTTCCAAAACTCTCTGGAATTAAAAAAATCAAGAGTTGAGAAATAAAATGCAAAGAATAACACATCAAGGAGTGTTTCACGCTGTCATTGATGTTTTATTTTGCTTTGTTTCATTTTGTTTTATAGTACTGGGGATTGATTGGGCCTTTGGCACTGAGATACATTCCTAGGCATTTTTTTTTTTTTAATTTTGAGACAGGGCATTGCTAAGTCACTAAATTGCCCAGGCTGGGCTTGAACTTTCCATCCTCCTACCTCAGCCTCCCAAAATGCCAGAATTACAGATCTATACCACCAATACTGGCAAAATTTACTCCTATAATTTTTGTGTTCCTAAAGGGCCACCTGAGAAATATAAAAATATGTCTCTCCTTTCCCTACCTTTCTGGAACCCCACCATGTTGGATGAAAGCAAGTGACTTCCTGTGCCTTTGACTGGAATGTAACATTAATGCCCTGTTCATAATCATCCATTGTTAGCCAGGCATGTGGTAAATTCCAGCATTCAAAAGGCTGAGGCAGTAGGGTCACCATGAGTTCAAGGCAGGCCAGGCCTTTTAAGCAAGACCCTGTCTCAAATGAAATAAAATAAAAATTCATGGTTATTTTTAAAGAAAAATAATGTTTTTACAACCTATGGAGTTAAAAATCATTAATTTGAATTATCTCTGTGCCAACAGCCCTCTGAGTCACATGGCAGGATAGAATCCCATTTCCATTTTACAGCTGAATAAACTGAGCCTGAAAACCATTTCTTTTTTTTTTTCTCATTGAGTTTATTGGTACATTTTAGGTATACAGTACAGTTACATTCATCATTGGGATCTTGTACCTTTACATGACAGGTCTGGGTTCTCATTTTTTCTCCTTACCCCTGCTCTCCTTTCACCCCCTCCTCCCTTCCCAATTTACAAACACTTTATTTCCATTTTTTTCATTTAGTCATATGTTTTTTTTCTTTTCCCTTATTTCCTTTTCCCTACCCTTCCCGCTTCCCCTACACCTTTAGCCCTTTTCTTCCTATTTCACATTGTCAATTATATCATTAGGATCTTATGGACAATTATAATTTTTCACACCAGAGAAACCATTTGGTATTTATACATGTATGACTTATTTATTTCACTTAGGAGTATATCCTCAATATGTATCCATTTTCCTATGAATGACTCTAGTTTCTCATTCTTTATGCCTGAGTAGTATTCCATTTTATAGATAAACCACATCTTCTTTATCCAGTTTCCAACTGATGGGCAGATGGGCTGATTCCAAGTTTTAGCTATTACAAACTGTGCCACTATAAACATAGGTGCACATATATCACTGTGATAGGATTTTTTTAATTCTTTTGGAAAGATACCCAGCAGAGGGATGGCTGGATCAAATGGAACCTCCAATCCCGGCTCTTTGAGGTATCTCCATATTGATTTCCATAGTGGTTGCACCAGTCTGCACTCCTACTAACAATGGAGAAGGGTTCCTTTCTTCCCCCAACCCTGCCAACATTTGTTATTGGTTGATTTCTTCATAGTAGCCATTTTTTGTGGGGTGAGGTGGAATCCCAGTGTTGTTTTCATCTGCATCTCTCAAATGACCAGCGATGACTGTTCAACACCACACCGCGAAGCCAAGACAGAGCAAAGTCAGGTTCATGAGCTCAGCTTCACATTCATTCCTTGGCCCTCAGGGCTGAATTTCAAGGTGCATCATGGCATATAGGGGCCTATGCACCTCACTCCCTTCAGAAGAGAGGACGGGGGAACTAGGTGTGTTCTCCAGGCTTACAGGAAGGATAAGAGATCGTGGCAGAGGACTCAGCCCCTCACTGTGGAAGTGGGATAAGAGGAAAGGGGCTTGAGACTCACTGGACTCCATGTCCCTCACGGGGGTTTTCTTTATGGTCTCACTGTGTGACCTCAGACAAATGATCATCTCTTCACACCCCAATTATAGAGGAGGAATTCATCCATTCAGTATACATACATTTAGCTAATGTTGATTACATAGCAGGCCCTGTGCTAGGCAAGCTGCAAATGGCTTCAGTCCTGTTCCCAGACGGACCTTACAGGTCTATACACATAGATCTAGTGAAGAGAAGACAGGCCTGAAACAACATACACAACCACATAATTCCAACTGCTATAAAATAGTGATGACCAAGTTCCAGCAGCTACAAGAAGGTGTCAGAAGGGAATTTTACCTAATCTGAGGGTCAGGGAAGGCTTACCTGAGGCTATGACAAAGGGTGGTGAGATGTGGAGAAACGGCAAAGAGTAGCCTTGAGAATGGAGACAAATGGAAGAGAAGAAAGAGTTCTAGGCAAAGAACAAACTCCCTGAGGCAGAGGGGACCACGGCTTGCCCAAGGAGCAGAAAGAAACAGGAGTGACAAGAGCTCAGAGGCTCAGAGAGAGAGAGACAGCTGAGATGACATTGGAATGTGGGCAGGTACCATATTACAGGATGATCCCACAATCCTTGTAGTGATGGTGCATGCACTGCACGAACATCTGATGTCACCCTCATTGTCCAAGAGACCTCCTGGAAAGGACACCACCTCTGGCCTGTCTTTAAATTGGGGAGCCCAGCCAGTGATCCTTTGCTACTGTCTTCCTGCCAAACTGTTGTGTCCCAGTCACAGCAGCCAGGATCCGCTGGTCACACAGTCCTTCCAAAGAGTACAAGGCAGTTCTAGTGAATTCTTCTCTGGCTTCTCTACTGGTTTTATTTAAGAACCGCCCACCAACAGTACACATGGGGTCTCCAGACCAGGCTTAGTCATTTAACAGAGAAAAAGCTTGTTTGCTGGACACAACCTCTAGCCCATAGCTAGGAAATGTTGGCCCAGGTCCAAAGCAAGGCTCTTAGCTTCCTGACCTGCCAGTAGGATACTAGTAAAAGTCAGAAGAGACAATGACAGGTCAAATGCAATGTGGCCCTTCAGTGACAAAAACATACTCTACACATAAGGTATAGTTATTAGGATTGTTGTTGCCAACCATACAGCTATCTTACAACTTTCTGGATCTTGGAGTCACTTATTCATGGTAAGTTCCAAGAGTCTGGAATGTCTAGGTCATCATCTCTGGCATCTCAATACAATCCTGACTCCACTGTCACTTTCTATGGAAAGGGTACTTATGGCCTCAATGCGGACTCTGAGTTGGAAGATTAAAGGCGGGCAAAAGCAGCTGTGCCATGTGGCCTCAATTTCCAGAAGTGAACTGACTTCTCTTCGGCCCTCCTCTTCCTATCAGCTCCCATGGGTCTCTAGAACCTCCAGGCCACACCCTGGCCTCAGACATGCTGGCAGCTGCCCGTATGTCTGCACTTCCTGCAATGTGGCCCTGACCCCAGAAGTTTCTTTATACAAATGGTCACTTGGGAGGAGCCAGGAGATCCTAACAAACAAAACTCATTCCAGGGCTCAGGAAGCAGAGGGGAAGTCCTGGGTTGGGAGTGAAGGACAGGGGTGGTCCAACATAGAATCAGCTGTTGCCCTGTGAATATACTGGCAGGCCCTGCCCAAGGACATAATCTGGAAAATAAACACATTTTAAAATAACTTTTCTCACTGTTTCTCTAAATAGCCTTTATAGTGACAGTAACAGGGGTTTGGTGGTTATGCTTTTTGAAAAAGAGAATTCCTTTTTAAAGGTTTTATTGTCTGGCCAGGACTACTACAAAAATCCAATGTCCCTCCCTCCACTGTTGGCCCTGCATCTACTCTGCTCTTCATGTAGAGCCTGAGGGATCTTGATGAAATATAAATCCACTGCCCTAATCAAAATCCTCCAGTTGCTTCCTTTTTCATTTTACATGAAACCACTAGACACTTCAATGCCCCATGAGGCCTGTGTGGGAGGTCTGGCTCCTACTCACCTGGCCATTTCCATCCTGGGCTCTTCTCTCCCCACACCATGCTTTCACCACACTGGCCTTCACTCTGTCCTTTCCACATGACAAGCTCTGACCTGTCTCAGAGGCTCCCTGCACCCTGTCCCTCTGCCCAGAAAGCTCTCCCCCAGGATTCTCTTTTGCTGGCCCCTCTCATCCCACTGGACCAAGGCTGAAGCCCGTATCTCCTTTAGGACACTCCTTAGAACCCATCTCCCCTCTTATACTGAATCTTCATGCTGCTTGTTCTTCTCATGGCATTTTTCCCAAAATGCAGTTATTTTATTTATTTGCTTTCTGTCAGTACATATGCATGAGCAGAGGTGACAGATCTCTTTTGGTCCCTCTGTATCACTAGCTTTTAATACATTGCCAGTTCAGAGAAGCTCCCCATTACACTTTGGTCAAATGAGTAAATGAAAATGAAAGAAAATGTATAGACTGTGTGTTACATATTTAATAGTGTAAAGCTAATTAAAAATATGTAAACTCATTTGGTTTATGGACCCGTTTTAGCTTCCAGCATAGTAGGTAGGAGCTCTGTGCTCTGCACATTTGAGCCACTTGGCCTGTCAGGGCTGATGGTACAACCACGATGACCCCCATGCTGGCAGAGCCATGAAGCACTCGAAGCCCCTCCATCTTTACATGCGGTCAGATACCAAGGCCCCTGGGCAATGTTTTTGTCTTGTTTGTTGGTTGTGTCAAAATACACTCACTAAGCAAAATATACTCTCAGGTATTACACTGTGATGACAAACCACAACTTCAACATCGGAGAACCCGAAAATGAGGGGAAAGGTGCAAGTAATATATGACCAGAGATAGATAGATAGAGAGAGAGAGAGAGAGAGAGAGAGAGAGAGAGAGAGAGAGAGAGAATCGGAGAACCCGAAAATGAGGGGAAAGGTGCAAGTAATATATGACCAGAGATAGATAGATAGAGAGAGAGAGAGAGAGAGAGAGAGAGAGAGAGAGAGAGAGATGAAAGCAGTATGTGTCCTACACATTCCAGGCAAAAAGAGATCCTGTGGCTGTAGAGGGACCATGAAAGGCTTGATGGGGAAGCTGCCACTGAGGCTGAGCCCACAAGTTGAAGGGAATTTGTGTACGTGGAGATGGAAGAAAAGGCAGCCAGATAAAGGGCACAGCACAACCAAAGCACTTGAAGAGCCGAGGACGAAAAGGAGCCCTAGGAAAATTAGCTGAGGAGCCTGAATACTAGCTGATGAGCAGAGAGAGAGAGAGGAGGCCCAGGAAGGTCACATCCACCACTCTGGTTTACTTAGTGGGGGATAAAAGGTTTTTGGGAAGGAAGTGACACAAGCAGAGCTGTGCTTCAGGATAAAAACATAGCCAGCAAAGTAGGGCATCGAGAGAGGAACTGACCGGGGACAGGGCAACTCATCAGAATCTGGTCATTCACATATGTGCTTAACACATGTTCCCTGTGCACCTACCTACTAAGTGTCACACTCCGTATGGGCCCTTGAGACACAGTAGCAAGCAGAGAATGGCTCCTGGCCTTGGGGAGTTTATATTCAATTGGAAGAACACAGACACAAAACAATAACATAACCAATGGAAAAAATTCAAAATATAGATGGTGACGAGAAAGACAGAGAGAAGGGGAGAGAGAAGAAATGGGAAGTGCCAGGCTGGGGCAGGCACAGGATGTGGTGTCAGATGCCAGGGTCAGAGAACATCTCCCAAAGAAGGGGGATGAGAGCAAACAGCTCAAGGAGAGGGCAAAGCCCTGCAGGTGGCTGGGGAAGAACATCCCAGCCAAGGCTACGGACCACAGCAAAAGCCCAAAGGCAAGGACAAGCCTCATGTGTGCTAGAGCAGCAAAGGGAGGTCCATGTGTGCCTGGAACAGAATGACTGAGGAACAGAGGAAGGCACCGTCAGAGGGAGGTGTCTTGCTTGCAGGGCAGACCACAGTGACTACTGCAGGGTTTTGAATACAAGAATGATAGGAGCCAACCTTTCAAAAGCTCCCTCTCCAGTGGCCCATTCAGACAATGGAATATTACTCCACACTAAAAAGAAATGAGCTATCAAGCCCTGTAAAGACACCGAGGAATTTTCTATGCATATTCCTACGCAATAAGCTGTGTGATTTCACCTGGATGACATTTGGAAAAGGTAAAGCCATGCAGACAGTGGAAAGACCAGTCACCGCCAGGCAACAGGAGGGAGGGAGGGACACATAGCAGAGCACAGAGGACGTTTAGGGCAGTGAAACTATTTTGCATGATCACATAATGGTGACTACATGTCATCACACATTGTCCAGACTCATAGGCTGTCCAAGAATGAACCCTAACATGCACTTGGGACACTGATGTGTCAGCGCAGGTTCACTGATCGTAACAAACACAGTGGGAGATGTTGATAATAGGGGGCTATGCTTGTATGGGGCATAAGGCATACGGGAAATCTCTGTACTTGCCTCTCAATTTTGCTATGAATCTAAAATTACTATTTTAAAGAACCATTTTTTTAAGACACCTTCTGAGACAGGAGCAGGAAAATCATTGAAAAGGTACCCACCACACTCATAGAAGAGGTGATGGTGTCTTGGACCACCAGTAGCAGTGGATGTAGGGAAAAGGAGCTGTGCTTTGGATTTATGTTGAAGGCGACAGGATTCCTGGTGCATGGAATATTAGATATGAGAGAGAGAGAGAGCAGTCAAAAATGACTGCAAGGTCTGTTAGACAAATAAAGCTTAGAGTTAATGAGGATCTCCACTAGGACTATAATTCACAGAAAGTAGAAGAGGGAAAAATATAAGTCAGGTGGCAGCAACTAAATGGAAAAGAAGACCATTCATCTTAACACAGGAATGGAAGAGGAGGAGGCCAGATTCACTGATTCGTTCAAGGTCTGTATTGAGCTCCAACTCCATGCTGATTTGAGCAAGAGGTTGAGAACACAATGCTGAACATAACAGCCTACTCCCTGACTTGAAGGAACTTTCAGCTTGGTGGTCCTTAATAGGTGAACCAAATGTGTATTTTTATTTTTAATTTAATCATTATTTTAATAAATCAGTGAGTTAACTGAATATTAATGGAATATAAAATTAATATACAATGTACACAACAAAATATAAAATTCAGTGTGCAATATAAATTTAATATGATTTGATTCTATTTCATTATTTGTACCATTATTTTATATTAGCATTAAGTGATATTATTGCAATATTTTATGCCCACCACTGTATTTGATAATAGGGATTCGAGACCAATGAGAAGTAAGAAATGGGAGGAGCATATCATAATAATCCTGTGTCTCAGAGCTGAAGCGGTGGCAGGAACAGAGGTGGGCACACAGGGACAGAAGCCACCATCCCTGCCTGGGGAGGACTAGACTGGCCTAAAGATGAGCAAGTAGTGCTAGGAAAAGCTGAGAGGTGTGGTGAGCTGCTGTAAGAAAGAGGGCAGGCAGGGACTAAGTGAAGCAGACACCTCAAGCTTCGAGCCTGGAGGATGGACTGTTCATTCCACTGGTGTGAGGACTCAGTGCATTTTGTTCACCATCATATCGCTGAGACCTAGCACACAATACCTGGTTCTCAGCAGGGTTGGTAAACATATTTTGAATGGAGAATGGGAGAATCTAGGAGAGGAACAGATTTAGGAGTACAATGACTTCTTCTCTGGGGTGGGAGAGTGCATTAAACTGGAAAAGAATTTGTGAGTTTCCTGGTACTGGCACTAGAAGGCCAGCTGGGACACAACCCCGGTCCTTGGGAGAACAGCCAGAGCGGTGGGCTGCTCTGTAGGGCCCCCAACAGGTGTGGGACTACCTGGATCTCCTGGATGCTCTCCTCCTCTCTGGTGTCCACCTTCTTCTCCACACCCTCGCCACGCAGCAAAGCTTCCAGTGTGGTGCTTTCCGAGGTGAACCCATCCTTCTTCAGTGGCAGCTCCACTTCTGAAAACAGCACAGAAAGGCATGTCAGGCCACTAGAAGCATTTGGGACAGGAAGAATGGTCCTTGTGGACATACAGGGACCAGAGCTCCTGGGCAGGACTCCGAACAGCTTGGTGGAATAGGCACACTGGAGTGGCGGGAAGCTTTTCAGTCTTCATTCTATATTCCCACAGATAGATCCCAACCTGGAGAAAGCTGAGGCAGGGGAGAAAGGGTACCAGGGGAATATGAGATCAGACCATCTGAGTCTCTGGCTGTATGACTTTGGGCATGATGCTCAAGAAGCCTGAAGCCTCTCCGTATACAAAGAGGGATAACAGGGTCCAATGCCAGAGTTGTTTTGTGGGGCAGAAAAGTGTTCATTTGTATAAAAGTGTTTGGAAGACTCTCAAGCAGTAGACCAACATTGGCCTCCATTGTTACTGTCCTCTCTCTGTGTCTTAGTTCTGGTCTGACAACTTGATGACCTCCCTTTGGCCATGCTGGCTGCCCAGCTCTGCTGTGCTCCATGAAAAGCTATTTCAGACTCCAGGAGGCTTCTCACTGACTCCCGAAAGAAGTGGAGCTCTTGAGAGCTGAGGACAAAGAAGGAGGAAGGGCAAATGTTCAAGAGGCTCCAGAGTAGCAGAGTGAGAGCTGCAGTATCCACACACCAGGGGAGAGAGCGAAGTTGGGCTGCAGGGCATTTTTCCTGAAGACATTAGGATTTGATAAGCTGCCTGAAACTTTAAGTAACTGGATATTATAGCTCTAATGTTGAATGACCTCAAAGGCCCATGCATTAAAAGCGTGGGCCCATTGTGGCCATAAGGGGAGGTGGTAGAAACTTCAGGAGGTAAGCCCCAGTGGAAGATTCTTAGCTCCCTGAGGGCATGCCCTTGAAAGGCATCGAGTTACCTTCCACTTCCTCTCTTTTGCTTCCTAGCCACCAGGTGAGCAGTTTCTTCTGCCACCTACTCTGCATCACTGCCATCCAGCATCCCCACCTGAGGCCAAAGGAATGGGTCTGCCTGGTCATGCACTGGAACCTCTGAAACTGTAAGCCAAGACAAACCTTTCTTACTATAACTGTCTCAGGAATATCATTATAGTGATGGAAAGCTGACTAACACACTCGGCCCAACTGTAAAAATGGTTATCAGGTTCATCTCTGCTTCTGAGGCAGACCAAACAGTAGCTATAAACCCTTTCCTCACGGTGTCCACCAACTCCAAACCTACCAGAGGCCTTTTAAAAACTAAGAACAGAAACCTAAAGTATGATTCTTGTATTTGGATTTACTACAAAGTTTTACTCCAACCTTTCCTCTGATCCTGGACTTACACACACACACACACACACACACACACACACACACACACACACTTAGATGTGTGTTTCCTATATTCTCTTGGGTAAATGGATGCAAGAACAGGAAGCAGTGGCACTTCAGAAAACAGCCAGTGGAAACAAATGGCCTGCTGAAATGGAGAAATTGGAAATTTAGTATAGAGACTATACCCAGATAAAGAGAACAAAAAGGGGATGGTGAACCACCCCAAGGGACCCATTTCTACTGCCATTCCTGCAAAGATAGAGGCAGGTGTTTGAAAGAATCTGGAGAGAGTGCCACAGCAGAGATGTAGCTGTGGGTGCAGCCCAGGACCCAGAGAGCAGGGAACCAAAAGAACCACATATCACCCAAGCACTGTCTCCTTCCACCTCTACCTTCCTGCTATGCCATCTCCCATTGGCCAACTTCAACCAGAAGCCAGAGGACAGGGAACCTGGTTGATGCAGCCCACAAAAGTCAATTTCCTGGGGCACAGAGCAATGTGAAGAACAAGGAGTGGAGATAAAAGGGCAAATGGAAATAGGCAGCACCATCCATCCCTGCTCTACCAGGCTTTCTTCTGACTCAGCATAACTTTACCTACCCTTTCCATCTCTTCCACCTGAGACAGTACAGGCTCACTGTAAGGATCTCTGAATATCCCAACAAAACTGAAGAAATGTACCCAGAAAAGAAAGTGGGAAGGAGAAACAGTATCTGAAGTCTCTTGGTAGATAAGTCTTTAGGATTTTTCATATCAAAAAAAAAAGAGGAACCACTTCCATCAAGAAGCACAACTACTAACTGCCACCTCTCCAATATACACATCCATCTCTACATTCAGTACAGAGCTCCCACCACGTGACAAGTGCTGTGCTGAGACTGGGGACTAAGAAGTGACCAAAGATAGTCTCTGTTTCAGGGCAGCATACAGTCTAAAGAGACAGACAGAAAAGGCTAAATACAAAATAAAGATGCAATTACAAACTGTCATACGTGCTATGAAGGAAAACAACAGAGTGAATGTGAAAAAAAAAGGGGTGCTACTTTAGATCAAGGAGTTGGGGAAGGCTTGGATGATGAAGTTACATTTAAGTTGAGTGTCGCAAGATTTTCAACTGTCTGTTTTAATGAGTTTGGAGCATGCAGCTGCACAGCCTGCTCTGATGACATATTACTCTCTCTCCCAAGTCAAAAAGTCTTCCAAATATCTAATCTCAAACAATTAAAGTGTGTTTCCAAGTGTCCTGTCCTCAGTCAAAAGAGAACAACTGGTCACCCTCTTCAAACTTATAATAATCATATATAATGTGTGTGTGTGTGTGTGTGTGTGTGTGTTTGAAATTCATATTTTAATATCCCTCAGCTTTCCCAACACAATCCTGTATCCAGAATTGTACAGTATTTTAGAACTGGGGGAAAAAATATTGTACAGCTGGAAAAGGCCTTATGGATGATTGAATTCAATCATCTCATTTTATAATTGAGTCACCCTGAGGTCAGAGAAGTTAAGGAACTTCACCAAAAGCCAAACAGCAGGACAAAAATGCAGACAAATGATCTTTCAGGATGCCATTGAGATCACGACAAGAGCCCTCATTCATTGCAATCTCATTGCAATGAATCTTGAAAATCCAAGGCTGAGCCCAACTCTTCTTTGGTAGACTTGTATATATGCAGAAGACTTGCTATATGCAAAACACATAAAACAGGACATCTGATATCCTAGGTGTCATCTAATCCTTTGCCACACCCAAGAGCACCATTTGACAGGTGTGGACAATGCAATTAGGGACATTTAGAACTGTTTACTATCACAAGGAGCAAAGTCCAGTCAGCCTCCAGAGCCCAACCATCTAAGGACTGTAAGGACTGTAAGGGTGTAAAGACTCCTCCTGCCTCTCTTTGGTCCTCTCTTGAAAAGTCTTTTTCCAAACCTTTTGTGCATTTCTGTTGCATTCCTAGACTCTCCCCCCATAGCTTTCAAATTTTAGGATAAAAGGCAGATTTCTGCTGATCTGAGGGCAGCTTGTGTGATGGGGCTGGATTCCATGCTGTCTGAACATCCTCCTGGTGTGCTCACCATCCCATGATGCTATCAAACCCATACATATAGAACTATCCATCTATTGTGAACTTCCTCCTCCTCCTCCTCCTCCTCCTCCTCTTGCTCTTTCTTTTTCCCCTGCTAAATATGCCTCCATCCTGCTTTCCCAAAATTCAATCTACTCTCTTGACTATCATTAACCAGACTACCAGATAGGCATGGTGAGAAAGTCAAGAGTGAAAATGGAACCAAATTAGAAAACTACAAGAGGTTTCCCTTTCCCCTCAGGCAAAGAGCTCAGACAGATCTCCTATGGCACCTAGAGTCTAATCCCTTCACCAAGAAAGCAAAGCACAGAAAGAGGCTTCCCCAGGATCATTTAGTGTCCTCCTTCTTCCCAAACCATCAATATTTAATTTGGCTTATCTAAGTTCTGCTATCAGATATCCCTGGAGTCATTCCTAGCCTTGCCATTTATTAGTAGTGGACCTCAGGCTGGTTACTTAACCTAAATCTCTATTACTTCATGTATTAAATGGAGGTGATCATAGTGTCTGTTTCATGATGCTAGAGTGAGAATCAAACAAGGTAGTGCACTGCATTAAGAATCTCCTAAAGGACCCATCAAACAACTCGTGTGAGGTTTATCAATTTTTATTTATTTTGTTTCATTATATTTTATTCAAAATTTGTATTCCAAATTAGATCACACATGAACCTGGGACATTGTAAGTGCACTACAAACGCTGAATCAAGTTTGAATCATTCTAGTTTTAATTATACAGCTACACTGTCCAATAAAAATATAATGTATACCATTTATATCATTTTAAACTTTCTAACAGCCACAGCTTAAAAAGTAAAGAGAGGCAGGTACAGCCAATTCTAATAATATTTTTTCTTTAACCCAATATTTCCAAAACATTGCCCTTTCAACATGAAGTCAATATTTAAAAATTGATGTCATTTTATCTTTTTTATTCACATTAAGATTTCAAAGTCTGGCATGTACTTTACTCTTGCAGTACATCTCAATTCACACTACCACATTTCAAGCATTCCTTAGCCACACATGCCTAGTGCCTGTCCTATTAAATAGTGCAGGTTTAAAGCACTAAAAGAAATGTTTACTATGATTTTCATTTCCAAAACTGGAAGGAATTTAAATGTGGCTCTTAATGTTGCTGAGTGCCGTTCCTGGAGCAGCATTCTAGCTAACCGCTGGTGAAGCCTAGTAGAAAAGCACTATGGGTAAGATTTGAAAGGTCAGAATGAAAGGGTAACCACCCCTCCCTTTCACCCACCAGCATGTGTGTTCTCTGCCTCCCAACCACAGGAGGTCCCCAAGTAAAGGGAGAGAAGAAATAACAGATCCAAGCTCTTATACAATATACAATCTAGACCTGCTCCAATTGAGCCCTGGGGGATTTCATTGATTTAATTTTATTCTAAAATGATGCATTTGGATATAGATCTTAACAGGATTTAGTAATTCCTTAAAAGTATACTCATTTTGCACCTTACACAAATCTGGCAACCACATAACCTGACAGAAGCCATCGAACATTTAACATTAAAAGAAAATGGTCCAAAACTCACACACACATAATTCATCTTTAAATTAGCCTGATTTTATACACA